AAATGGCAACCCACTCCAGTATTCTTGCCTGGAGAATCCCATGGACAGAGGAGCCTGGCAGGCTAACAGTCCATGGGGTCACAAAGAGTCGGACATGACTGAGCGACTTCCCTTTCACTTTCTTATTAATAGGGTAGTTCAAGTTATTATTTTAGCAATGGAAGGTTTTTAGGGGGAGAAAAGCACATTTCATGTGGAAGTCATGCTATTTGCTGAGTCTCAGCTGATAGTGCCTGAAGAAATCTTTCAGTCCCTTACTCTAAACCTAGCCCTGTGACCACCAGCTATCAGAATTATACCCTCTGGAAAGGAAAGTACCGAGATCTAGGAAATGTGACCAGCAATCTAACCAGCAACAGTGAGGACACCATACAGGTAAATTATACATTTTCAAGCCATCAGCATTGAAGGCTTACTGTTACTCATCACAAACTAGTAATTGGTGTTTATTGCCATATTTGTGAGATTCATAAATCCAATTTTTATCTTGGATAACTCAAACGAAATTTCCTTCTTGATGAAAAACATCCACTTTGAAAGGCAGTTAGAGCCTTCTTCGTACTCTCGCAATTCAGTATGTACTTTGTTCATGATTTAAGGTGATTTTTCTCACCCTATAACGTAAGAATTCCACTTCCTTTCTCCCTAGAATTCCACGTGCAGTTGTTTCATTTAAAGCAAGCTACAAAAGCGGCCAGAAGTGACTTGGCCTAGATGTTAGGGCTGACTTCTCTGATGTCCATCAGTCCTGTTGTGGATGCACGGATCCCCTTCTACCAAGTCAAAGCTGCCTATTTGCTATACTTACCTCAGGTGCAACACATCCAGTCATGAGAAAAGTGTGCCGTATTCAGGTTCTGAGTGGACCCTGCTCAGAGGAATGTCACTCTGCAGTTCTCAAGCGTTTATTTGTTATTGGTTATACCCAAGAAATGGAAGTAAACCACGAGTATCCTTTCTCTTTATAGAAGACATGGTAATTTGTGAATCCATAGTGGGAAAACAGCACTCTTATGGTGCTGAACAACCTTCAGTAAGTCTGTAATTTTGAAATTACCAAGTAAGGGCTTCCCTGACGGCTCAGTGGTAAAGAATCTACCTGCCAATGCAGGAGATGCAAGTTCAATCCTTGATCCGGGAAGATCCCATATGTCGTGGAGCAGCTAACCCACGTGTGCCACAACTGACGAGCCTGTGCTCAGAGCCGGGAAGCCGTAGCTACTGAGCCCACTCCCGGTAACTACTGAACCCTGTGCACCCTACAGCTCGTGCTCCATAAGGAGAAACCACTGCAATGAGAAGCCCACCCACCACAACTAGAGAAGAGCCCTCACGGCAGCAAAGGCCTAGCACAGTCAAAAATGCTAAAATTTCTTAAACATTAAAAAAAATTACCTAGAGATAGTTTTGTGAGAAAGGAACAGATTCAGAAACAGGAATAATGGTTAGGGTGACCCTCACTTTTATTTTTCACCTTTTTTCCCACTCCAGTCTTGCAAATGGTTTAGGGGCAAAACCCATTTTCAGGTTATAAATCATGTGGTTTTCTAGTTTCAGGAATCATATTAGCTTATGGTATAATAATTCTGGTAAAATACCTAATTAACTGATTAATTCTATTTATGAGTATCTACTGAGCACAGCATTGTAACCATGTCTTTCTGTCATTTGCAGACTGAGAGACTGCAAATGGAATAGGAATGTGTGCAATAGGAATGCAATAATCTAATACAGCAATTAATTTGAAATGTTGTAGTTTGTGTCCTCTTTCTGAAATAAGGAATTATTTTCCCCACAGAGACTGTTATCAGTGTAAATCCTCCATGAGGCTCCTACACAGGTTTACCGGATTATTATTAAGGAGAGGAAAACTCTGCTTCAGAAGAGGGTTATCTGGTTGAGGGGGTTCTGAGCAGGGCTGGAAAGACCTGGGTTCCTGTTCCAACTCTTGCACTGGCTTGTGGGTGATTTTGTGCACATCATTCAGCCTCTTTGCACCTTGGTTTCTTCATCTTTATGCATGTGTGCTAAGTCACTTCAGTCGTGTCTGACTCTTTGTGACCCCATGGACTGTAGCCTGCCAGGCTCTTCTGTCCATGGGATTATCCAGGCAAGAATACTGGAGTGGGTTGCCATGCCCTCCTCCAGGCGATCTTCCTGACCTAGGGATCGAACTCGAGTTTCTTATGTCTCCTGCATTGGCAGGTGAGTTCTTTACCACTAGTGCCACTTGAGAAGCCTCTTCTCCATCTTCAGTGTGAGGAAATTAGAATGTAAGAATTAGAAATTAGAATGTAAGAACTGTGATGTAAGTTCCCTTTAACTCTAACATTTAAAGACTAGGATGAATATGATCTACATACTCAGAAGTTTGCAGACAAAAGGTGTAATTGTCTGGATTTGTTGACAAGCATATGCTATTTCTTTCCTTTTTAGCAGCAGAAGTCTTCATGAACAATTGTTTCCAAAGGAAGTATTTCTCTGATAAAAGTGTATCTGAATAAATAATGAAGCAGTGTTGATCATTGGGACCTGCTGAAGATTCCTGTGTTTGAACTTATTGTTTTCTTATATGTGAGTGGGTGAATGCTCAGTTGCTCCATCAGGTCCGACTCTTTACAGCCCCATGGACTGTAGCCTGCCAGGCTCCTCTACCCATGGCATTTTCCAGGCAAGAATACTAGAGCAGACTATCATTTCCTACTCCAGAGGATCTTCCTGACCCAGGGATCAAACCCATGTCTCTTGCATCTCCTGCCTTGGCAGGTGAATTCTTTACTACTAGCACCACCTGGGAAGCCCCATTTTCTTGTCTGTAGGCAGAAAAAAAGAATGTGCTTCTGAAATGGAGAAGAAAATAGCGCCCTCTCCAAATCACACACAGTGAGATGTAGATTTTTATAGGCAAAACGGCCAAAACTTTTTTTCCTTTCATTTTTTTATTGTGGTTAAATAACATAAATACCATCTTGAACATTTTTAAGTATATGGTTCAGTGACATTAAGTACATTGATACCATTATGTGATCATTATCACCACCCATCTCTAGAAGGCTTCTCAGTGAAAACTTGAAACTCTGTCCTCATTGAATAGTAACTCTTCCGTTCCCTGCACCCCACAGACCCTCGTCGCTGCTGACCAAAACTTTCAGTTCTCAAGTTCAGCTGCCTTCATTCAGCTCTTGTGGTCCTTTCCCTCTCTGTAGTACTGGACACCATTGACCAACTGTGACTTTTTTAAAAGCTCTGTGTTTTTTTTTTCTTTTTGTTCTTTGACTTCTCTATTCCTTCCAGCTGCTTCTCTGCTCCCCAAGGAGAGGAAACTTGTTTTTTTTCCCCCTTCCTTCCTAACTGGATACATGGAAGATTTCAGCTATGATCCTTAGCCTACCTTTCTCACTGTCACTTTTCTCTAAGACATCAGTGTGTGTGTGTGTGTGTGTGTGTGTGTGTGTGTGTGTGTGTGTAACTTTAACTATCATGTCTATTTAGACAATTCAGAAATTTTTGTCTCTGATCCTGTTCTATCACTCTAACATCTGGTGTGTACATTACCACTCAAGACTGTTGCCATCATGTCATACGTAATGTTTTCAAGGATTTTATCCTGTTATCATTTCTTCCATGTTCCTTTATTTTCTGTCTCTTTTTTGCCACTTTCTTAATTTATCTCTCACATTCTCCAAGAAACTAAAATGCTTCTTGATCGCCTGCGTCCGCTCACTTAGCAGGTTCCACCTTTGAAAATATTGCGTGTCTTTCTTTTACTTTCTTCAGTGCTGCCATTCAGGTATAACTCTCGGTGGGCTGTCTCATGTCAGACTGTCTCCTCCTGAAGAATTGTGCACACTTCTGCCCCAGTCACTTTTCCCAAAGACCACTTTCTTCAAGGCTGTCACTTCACTGAACCTATTTCCTGTGGTTTTCTGTTGGAAATCTTCTGCTTGGTTTCAAGTTTCTCAAACCATATTTCATCTCATATATGCATTCTGTACTCTGGTCACATTGGTCTCTTTCCTGACACTTGGATGTTCTTATTTCTGTGCCTTTATCCATGTGGCTGCCTTTTTCCAAGCACCCTTTATCTTTCTCTGACTACACTGTCATACATGAAGGCTGCTCCTGTCCTCACTGAGGTCCTCATCTCCACTTTCTCTAAACTTCTGGGGTCACAGCTGGTACCACAGGCATCTTAGCATCACTTTCAGTCCTAGATTGCTTGCTTTTCTATGTGTATATATTTTGTGATCTCCCTACTTAATTGCAAATTCTTTGAGGGCATAGGTCTACATAGCTACTGAATGACTGGAGTTTTTCATCAAACAGAAGTGCCCTAGGTTTGGAATAATTATAAAAAGTACAAATCTTAAAAAAAAACACATCAAGGGAAATTGGAAAGCTCCTTCTTAAGTTAAGGAGTTTTGACCAAATAAATTTTGCTTTTCAGGTAACTTTGTTATAGTGCAGTTATTGAGATCCTGTTTTGGGAAGCAAAGCTATAGTTTTTGGAAAGAGGCCAGAGGGAAAGCTCTAATGGAGATGCTAACAAGAATTAAGACATGACTTCTCCACAGATTACTCTTCACATGCATGCCATTAAGTTGTGATTCAGCTCCTTGTCTTAAATAGAAGTGTTACTGGAGACCTTTGTTGCTCAAGTGTCATAAGCAGCCATAAGACTATATTGAAATTTGAACATTTTGGGGGGAGAAATTTCCCCCTTTAAAAGAAAGTTTCTGCATTGTCTATACTCTGACATTAGATGGAAGTAGAGAGTTATAGACATAAAGTCCAAAGATCAAAGGCCACAAAGTCTATAGATCCTTCCAATAGTCAAATTGGATGAGTTTACATTTGTATGATTAGCTGGATTAGACATTTATCAGATTTATTGATTGATTTGTTCAAATAATCTGTTTTTGGTCTCATTGATGACCTGGTTTCCTCTTGTTTCTACCACATTGTGTTTTATCCATGCAAAGATGCATTGTTTGACTCAGTGGTATAAAACATTAAGGAGACTATAGGTAAAGTAGGCTTTGCCCTGTTTATTTTGTAGCATTGCCAAATAGGTGAGAGGACAACAGGCCCTTCAATGGTGCATGAAGTCAGCCATCTGCTCCAGTTTCTTTAGGCTTCCCAGGTATAATCTGAAGCTGAACGAGGATGTCTGGATCTAAGCAAGCTCTCCCACTGCTGAATGAGGGAAGTGAAATGGTTGGCCTCCTTTCCAATGCCATGACTCAGGATTTCAGTCTGTTCTTGAATGGGTTCTCAGATGCCCTCTGTGACTCAGAGCATTACAGTTCTCTAGACCTACAGAAACTCTAGATTAGATTCTCAGACTTAGTCCTCTTTCCCTCCTGTTAGAATCATTTCAGCACAGGGTCTTTGAACTTGTCCAGTCTACCACATAATCGCTCGAGTGCAGGTGGTGCGCTCCAGAAGTGGATGATAAGTAGCCCCAGTTTTTCTGGTCACTAACATAGTATTTCAGAAAAAGGAAGTGATGAGTAAAGTGAAAAAAAATTGTTGTCTCAAGGAATAGTCCTACTCACGTAAGGCAGAAATGAGATAAAGTAGAAGATACTCAAGCCGGAGAAGTAAGCTTCAACGGGATGCTTGTGATAACAGAACTCAGCCAAGAGAGGCAGTGGGACAGTACTGTACTTAAGTAACAGCAGGCACTTTAATACAGTCAGCAAAACTGAGCCTAAAAATTAAGGTGGTTATAGTTACTGGGCAGGGGAGGCTTTTGGCCATTCTATAAGTATCATGCCTTCAGGAGAAGTGAAGATGTTTTGATCTGTCCTTTTTTAAAAAAATTAATATCATTTAAATAGTAGAGAATGCTTGAATCTTGTATGGAGTCTAACTTACACTAAACACGTAGGCAATGAGTAATGGTCAAATTATCAAAATTACAATTAAACTTTTTCTGGAAACTCAAATAATTTACTAAACTGAAGTCCTCTTAGTTGTTAGAACCTTTATTTCTTTTAAGTAATAATAGATATAAGTACTTGAGTTGTATGAGAGCCTTCCAAATGGTATATTTCAGAGAATAAATACCTTGAAGTAAGGCTTGGGGAGTTACCTTCCTATACATGTCACTACTTTTAACAAAAAAGACTTTTGAAATTGGATAATGCCATTCATTGCTTATAGCCATGGTATGTATATAGTGCTCTGATATCCAAAGTCACACCAACATGGTTGTACCACTCATTTGGCTAAATGTCTAGCAATCTGGAAGGAACCTTAAAGCTGCCTTAAAGCTAAATTATTAACACCATTAAATATTTTTGGTAAAAGTAATTCCAGGCAAAGATCATTCTCTAGGCACACCTTCTGGGGTTGTGAAAGGGAATCTGTGTTCCACATTGTTAAAAATGATGTGTTTCTTCTTTTTTTAGATCTTAAAATTAAAATGGTATTTGAGAAAGTCAGAATTACCAAAAAGAACTGATAGAGAAGAAACTAAGAGTTCAAAATGTGATCATGGAGAGTAATGTATCTTCATGGTTATTACTGATGTAAAGATTTTAAAAATGGAATTACTTTTTAGGACACAAATCCACATCCTCAGATAGAGAAACACATGAGGACATGTGTACATTTGTGCAAATCAGAAGTGCAGTCATTTGGGAGTGGAGCGGCAGCTATTTTGGTAGGTGTGGATGACTGAGTGTGTGAGAGAGATGGAGTGAGGGAGAGATAAATGAGAGTTGGAAAAGGACAGACAGCATAGTTATACAACCCTGTGGGTTATTTTCTATTGTTGGGAAGTGAGAAGGACAACTGATTGTAAATGATTCATGAGGGGCCAGATAGAGCCTCTGAGGAGGGCAGTGGAAAAATATTGTGTTGGGGAGATGGATGACTCCCTTCAGCACCTTGAGCCTTACTCTTAGCCTTGGGGGGAAAAAGAAACAAATCAAGAAAAAAAAGTAAATATTACTTTCTCTTCCTTATAATCATCTGGAAGTGCAACTCTGCTGTTCCCTTGTGGCTAGGGTCTTTACCCCAAGGAATAATTCATGGTCCAGTTTGAAATGTAAGCAGGTCTTAGAAGGAGGAGAAGAATATAAGGTGAGAATATGTATGAAAGGGTTGGAGGCACACAGTCACCTATAATTTAGTAAAGCCCTTCATTTTTATTTTGTGTTCATGTAAATGCACCATCAAACATTTTTGAAAAAACCCTCAAGTTTCTAGCAGTATTCTCTACCAATTCTCTAGCCCAAGTTCAAAAGCATGCAGACATCAAAGAAATTGAAAAAAAAAAAAAAAGAAAGAAAAGAAATAGGGCAAAAGAACAAATAGGAAAGGAGCAAATAAGCATAATTTATTAGGTGTCTGGCACCGCAATAGCTGTTATTCATACAATATGTAGTTTCACAACAACTTCTGAGGTTTAGTTATAACTTTTACCTTTTTTACATTTT